TATATATATATATATATATATATATATATATATATATATACGTATACACACACGTTGCGCCCACTAGAAACTTCGTATCCCTGTGCATCCGCATTATTGTGCTCTATAAATACAGGAAACTCGGCTGTGCCGAGTCTACACACGGCCAAAGAGAGAGAGAGAGAGGGAGAAATTGTACGTCAGCCAGATAAAAGTTTCGTCGAAGTGCCAGCTTCTTTCGACTTTCTCGCTTCCGCAGTATAAAAACGTTGTATCCAACGACAACAGGGCGGATTGCGGATATTCACGTTGCGAAACTGCGAAATTTGCTCGAGGTTATGCGGAAGTGTTACGGATGATATTTGCCATATATATATGAGGATAAATTGCGATTTTTGAATCGGTGTTATAATCGTTCCAGATGGACGTATAGACTGGCTTAAACTTTGTAATTTTTTTTATTCAATTTTCCTTTAAAAAAGTTGTATTCGTAAAGGAAATAAATCGAGAAATTTAAAAATTTAAAATCGCTTGAATCCGATGAAAGATTTCAATTAAATCGATCTCCTTGAAATATTTTTGTTTCATTCGAAACATTTTTAAATCTCCAAACAATTAAGTAACAAGTATATATATATATATCGTTAAATGAAATCGTTAAATCTTATCTCTTGGAGCAATCTCCGTGTAACGCGTTCTTGGGTTAAACAGTCGATAAAGGAGAACGTAAATTGAGGTTTTACACGGATTTACCGTGTACAACGGTATAAAATTGGATTCATTTAGGCGAAACACAAACGGTGGCCACACCGAACGCGCAGGGGCCCGTTCCCCGTGAAATTTAATTTTCCCTTTTAATTGATCGATACTATCCGGAATTCGAATTCCAATTTTAATTAGAATAGATCTACGATGCGTCGGTGTAACGTCCGTACAAACTATAACGGGCAACGTCACGCTACGTTAACAAGGAATTTGCCGTGCCGGATAAATGTTATTAATGTTACACGCGGCCTCGCTTCCTCGTAAATAATCGTTTAATTACACCCGATCGTTGTTTGATACGCGCGGTTTTCGAACATGCTCGCAACCGATTCCCATCTTCCGCCTCGATGGATCTCCAGTTTGTGGCTCGCATTAATCGACGAATTCCATATTATTTCTTTCGATCTTTCCGCTGCTGTATTTTTATTCGATTCGACCATATCCTTTTTCATATCTCTCTTTTCTTTCCGTTTTAGTTGTCGTTATTTTCCTTCCTTGGAGATTTAAAATATTTAATATTTAATAATTAAATATCATTCAAAGATATTTTTAAACGATGGATTTTCAGTTTATAGCTCAAATTAACCGAATTAATCGAATTCGATATTATTTGTTTCGATCTTTCCGAGCTGTACTCCTATTTTTATTCGATTCGACCATATTTTTTTTATATCTCTCTTTTCTTTCCGTGTTACTCGTCATTATTTCCCTTCCTTGGAGATTTAAAATATTTAAAATATTAATTATTTTATAAAATATTAATATAAAGTATTTAAAATATTTGAAAGATTAAATATCATTCAAAGATATTTTCAAACAATGGATCTCCAGTTTGTGGCTCAAATTAATCGAATTCGATATTATTTCTTTCGATTCTTCTGAGCTGTACTCGTATTTTTATTCGATTCGAGCATATTTTTTTATATCTCTCTTTTCTTTCCGTCTTACTCGTTATTTGCCTTTCTTGGAAATTTAAAATATTTAATCGAATATCATTCAAAGATATTTTCAAACAAATAATGCATATGCAGTTAAATAAGTAGTATACTTTACCCATGGTCGGCCAAAATTCTTCTGCACTCTGTTATTTTTTTTTACCGTCCACGTAAAATTCCAAACGAATTGGCATCGTTTCACGTGAAAATGCAGCTATTATATATTATATATATTATATATCCCAATTACGTATCCTTCCTTACCCGATTAAATTTCCACCACGGTATCACCGCAATGTAATAAAATATTAATCAAGCCTACCACCGTATTCGTTTCCCCCGCATCATCATTCTCCCATTCACCACCACAACAACGATAAATCACCCCCAATCATCCCCAATACACGCCCACTCGTTCCATTTACGATCTTAAAATTTCCCACCGCCGTTATTAATAACCAATTCTCCTCTCCCTGATTCACGGTCCCCCAAAAACAATCGATTCCTCGCGCACAATACGCCATGATATCAAGCAGGGGAGGGGAGGGGACGATAACGCGCTCATTCTCCCTCCAAATCTTTCGAAACGAGGTCCAAAGCCGCGAACTTTCGACTTTCGAACTTTCCCACGCGATTGTCTCCGCCTTCGCCCCTCCACAGATTCCCTTTCTCGTTACTGGCACACCGCCACGCGTTAACGAGGGAACAAGATGAAACTTTGCCCGCAGATATTCCTCGGAATTCCTTCATTCCTTCTCGAATATTGACGCGACATCACGTACGTCCCGGGTTTTCCGCGCGATTGAACAATCGTGGATCCCTCCCTGACCATGGCCAACCGGTGAAGGCCACGCCTCGTTACCAGAGACCGATGAAAATGATAGAGATTTTGTTTTTGGCGAGATTCTCTTGTTTCTGATAAATGGTATTTTATGTATATCAACAGAATTTGTATTATTAATAAAAATTGATAGAGAGGCAAGTTTAACGATCGTCGAATGAATTATATTTTATATTAGAAAGTTCTAATCTAACTTTTGAATTTTGTTGAATTGTTGGATTATAATTCGATGAATTCACGGGTATTGGTGATATTTTAGTTTGTTTAATTTCCTATCGATCCTATTTCTTTCGAACAAATTCATCGAAAGTGGGATAAAAATAAAAATCTTCAACGTATTGCCCAGATGTATCATCGTTGAAAAAGAAATTTCGCGAAAAAATACGATAAAAGCGAGCGGCCGACATCCATCAAGTTTAGAAGAACCACCCTTGATATCTTCCAACATCGTACACTCGAGGGGAGTCCCAGAATTCCATTTTAACGGTTCGCTCCAACAAAGTGTGTCAACATTTCCTATCCATCCGTGCCAGAGACAAAATAATTGCGGCACAATAATTGTTCACAATTATAACTTCGCCTCGTTTGCCATAGCGATTCACTCTTCTAGAGTGAAATAAACGCACTGCATCCGTCAGAAAGTTTCTACAACCGTCTAGCATATCGAATTCGTCCCATTGGTTAATAATCGAGAATTTTGTC